CTCACAATCTTTTTATGCTTCAGCCCGTTGTTGCAGCCACTGTGTCAATTCATCTCCTTGAAATCTTCCTCTTTTTTCTGCTGATCCTCTACTTTACTAAGCATGATGTCCTTCTCTAGGGGCTGGTCCCTCCTGATAACACGTCCAAAGTACATGAGACAAAGTCTCGCCATGCTTGCTTCTAAGGAGCACTCTGGCTTTACATCTTCAAAGACAGATACGTTCGTTCTTCTGGCAGTCCATGGTATACTCAGTATTCTTCGCCAGCACCATAATTCAAAGGCATCAATTCTTCTTTAGTCTTCCTTATTCATTGTCCAGCTTTCGCACGCATGCAATTAGTTTCCTAAATATGAGAGTATTTTCTACAGTAGGGTTTCAAGCACTTTACTTATGCCACTGTGTCACAGTGCATAGTTTGGGAACATCTATATAAACTTATGTTAACTATTCGATATTTAGTTTGTTTTGATAATATTTTAGTCAAATAAATTTTTGACACGTATCAAATTGGACACCCCACTAAGCCTAGCATCCCGGGTGGCCACTCATATAGCCCGCCCCTTAATCTGGTGCTGGTTGGTTTAGATTTAATTTTGTCTAGTTACCAAGTGGCCTGTCTGTTTCAGCATATTTTACCACTCTAGCTCCTTCACAATGAATATCAGCAGTGTGTAACCTGCCACTGTGGACAATCCAATCAAAAGGTCAAAGCCCAAATGTCTACAGGAACCAGATAGGTAAGGTGAGGGAAGCTGGCTGGGTGCGGACTGTGGCAAACAGGAGAACAAGTGCAGCTGCTATTCAGCCCAAGCTCTTTGCCATGTAGGAAAGTAGGCTTAGTGTAGCCATATCTTTCATTTTTTTAAAGCAAAGGCAGAAATCTGAATATTTATGAATATTATCCCAATTTGTAAATGTTGGCCACTGTATCAGACCTGGAGTTCGTTAGCCAACGGCAACCTCTACCATAATAAATAGCAAAGCCCAAAATGTATCTCAGTGACCTTACCTCCACCAAGTGACTCAGGTAAATCCTAACGGGTCCAAGTCAATCATGGTGGTCTTATTCTCCTCGGCAGCCATCAGTTTAGAGGTGGGCATGTGACCCAGTTCTGGCCAATAAGGTGTGAGAGGAAGTCAACTGGAGGGTTTTAGGAAAGGATTCTTAGCTCTGAAAATGAGACATACAAGGTATAGATGGCCCTATTCTGTTTCTGGATATTGGTTCCTATCAGGATATGATGCTTGGAGCTTCTGCAGTCATTTCCTAACCAAAAGGAAGCCACAGGCAGAGCAGAAAGATGGAAGGAAAGCGGGGTCTGGATGTTGTTGAGCCATGCACATAACCAACCCTGGAGCCACCTTGCCTCCAGATTTCCTGTTGTCAGATAATTCACCCACTTATTTAAATCATTTTGAGTTGTAATGTCTGTATTTTCAGCCTAAAAGATCATAAATGATACAGGGGGGCAGAGGGATAGATTAAATTAAAGATGTCTGCAGCCAAATCTGACCAGGGGCAGGCAGTTTGCTCCCTAGGTGTTTCCTTAGTCACTTGTATTAAATTAAGTAGTATTTTTTTTTATTGGATGTTCTTCCTGCATTATTTGGGCTAACTAAAAACTCCCACCTTTCCTCTTGTTTCCACGGTTTAGGCCTTAGACAAGACCCAAGCCGCTACTGTGTCCTACACCAAGCATCAGACTACAGTGATTTTCTCAAAGACTTCTTTGGTAACGCTGATGAATGAGCTCAATTATGTCTACAGCTCTGGTGGCTTATTTCTGAAGATGGTTCTTGCTCCTGCCAGCTCTGTAACTGTAGTATTCAGCAACCATTCTCTTTACCCTTGGTAATGTTCTTTGATTGGAAATCTGCTTTGTCTGATATGAATATAGCCAAACCAGCTTTCTTTTGATTAGTGTTAGCATGGTCTCTTTTTCCATCCATTTACTTTTAACTTATTTGTGTCTTTATATTTAAAACAAACAAACAAACAAACAAACAAACTAGTTGCCATTGAGTCAATTCCTACTCATAGCAATCCTATGTGTGTCAGAGAAGAATTGTGTTCTATAGGGTTTTCAGTGGCTGATTTTTCAGCAGTAGATCACCAGGTCTTTCTTCTGAGGTGCCTCTGGGTGGTCTCAAACCGCCAACCTTTCAGTTAGCAGTTGAACATGTTAACTGTTTGCACCACCCAGGGATGCCTTATATTTAAAGTGGGTTTCTTTTAGGCAGCATATAGTCATTTTTATTTATTTGTTATTTTTTCCTTAATCTAATGATCTCTCCCTTTTATTTGCAGTAGCCTCTTTCTAATTCACTGCTTTTAAAAGGAAAAAAAAAAAAAAAAGGCATTTCTTCTTTTTTCTCTGCATGTAGGAATCACTTTTCCTAACACATTAAAAAAGTTATCATACTTTATATAAATTTACGTGATGATGGCAGGGGGTTTGGAAATCTAGCAGTGACTGACAGGAATGTTTGAGGGACGTTAGAGGCAATGAGAACTGTTAGTGGGCTTTTGCAGTACAGGCAGTCCCAGACTTACAAACATTTATGTAGTTACGAACCAAACCTGTAAAGCCTATTATATTAAAACTTTGAAGTACATACAATGTTTTGTAATAACAAACAGACGCTACTTTGCGATGTGCATCAAAACATTATTATTATTACTGTATTATGTTAAAGATATTTGGTGTATCTGGAAGTGTTTCTTTAATGTTTTTTATCCATAGAAAGGTACACTATAGACTGTATACTAAGACAAACATTTGACTAACTGACATTAGGTACAAACTATACCTAACTTTTCTGATTTATGTACAAATTATACTTAAAAACCAACTTCGGAACGGAACTCATTCGTAATCCAGGGACTGCCTGTAGTTTAACTAGTATACAGAGGCCCTGAACTCCAGAGTCCTCTGAAGAAAATCCTTCTCACTGAAAGAGGAACTGACGCTGGTAACAGATTGGTTATAGTCACCAAGATCTCTCTCTTCCCTAGTCTCTAGCTAAGTCTTAGTCTCCCTTTTTACGGAAATTATGCAAAAGATTTTAAAACAATTTCACAGTGTCTAACTGGAAACGACTTGAAGCAATTAGTTCCATTTCTGCTTTATAGCTGAGGAAGTAGAAGTCAGAAAAGTTAATAATTTGCCCCAGGACATGACCTGGGTTAGTGGTGGAGCTTGGGGAATGGAACCAAGTCCTTTTCTGATTTCCAGAAAGACCAAGGAAGCTTATTGGTTTAATGTTAACTTTTGCGTTCTACTCAAAACACATTAATTTCTATTCTTCACCCTTGTTTTTGTTTGTGGCCCCACTCAGAGAGAGTATGACAAAAATAAAACAAACAAGGAAAATCATATAAGAACAGAATGAAACACACAGACAGCAAGACAGATCGATTCAGAAAGCAACAGGGACACACCGATAAGAGAACACACTGAAAGAAAATGAGGCTAGAAGAGACAAAACTCCCAGGGTGGCACCTGTAGTGTAAGGTTATTAGCCCCATCTTGTGGCCTTTTTAGATATTGTCACTAGGGTTAATTTCTGAACCAAACAACAGCCCTAACTGGAGACCTGGACTAGACCTGGAACAAAGGTATTCAAACTTTAATGTGCCTCAGAATCATCTGGAGAACGAGGATGAATGCAGATTCCTAGGCTCCTCCCACCAAAGAGGTAAATTAATCTGAAGTGAGCCCAGGAATCTATGCTTTTAGCGAGCTCCTCAGGAGCCACACGTAAGAAACACTGCAGAAGGCAATAAAAATTAGTGATATTCATCCCCTTGACACTGTGGGGAAAGGACTATTTTGAAGAAACGTCTGGAAGGAAATTCTTAAGAACTCTAAAGGGTCTTGATTTTACTCTACTTGCAAGCTAACAAGTTAGCCTGCCACAGTTCCATGGATGCTGGTAGAAGACATGAGACTCCTGGGTCAGCTACAAAAGATAGTTTATTACTCACAGCAATAGCAGTCGTCAGAGTATCATCATTTGGGCCAGTTTCCGGAGCCCCGATTTCAAAGCTATCCGATGAGGGCCAGGTGAATTTAACACATGCACAGAGGAACCATGAGCTTAGAGAACCCAAGTCCTTTATAATGGGGGCTAAGCCTGCCTGGCCTTTGCCTGGACTATTTCTGTTCACTACAGAAACATCCTTGGAAAAGGCAATCAGTGCTTCTGCTCACAAAACATACGAGAGACCCGTGGAGAATGGACTGGCAGTGCGTTAGGGGAAAGGAGTCCTCCCTCCGAAGGCTGTAAAGTGAAAAAACTAAGGAACTGGGAATTGGAGGGATTCCAGCCCGCAATACCAGGCAAGAATTCAACCTAGATTCTGGTTCCCATAGCTATCTTTGCAGAAGTCCTAATCTTTGTTTTAATGGGAGCCTGTCTAGTGTCATGGGCACTTTCCATGTTTACTTCACTTTAATCCTCATATCTCTTGGAGATATTATGATCATTTTACAGATGAGAAAATAAATTTTGAAAGATTGATTTGTACACTTTTTCAACCAGAGACAAGAGTCAGGTCTTCTCAATATCTCCTTCCCTCACCGGTTTTCTCCTTCTCAGTGGGCCAAGATAAGAGTGGCCAAAATAAGTAAACAGAGAATGCAAGAGCAGAGACAGGTCTTTGAAAAAGCATTATAAACCGTAAGTAATGAAGACACTAAGGGCGCTTTAAGACCAAACCTCTACTTCCGAACAAGAAAGTTAGCAGGTCTGGCTTCTGCCAACAAGCCAGCCCGAGATTTCGGACTGGTTACGGAAGCGGTTCCTAGACTTCATTCCCATTTCAAATCGGAAGTAGGTTTCCAAACACAGGGAAGTACCTATCAGCACAGTTGATTTTTTTTTCCCCCTTCCTAAAGTGGCCCGCCCCACCCGCCAGCATTGGCGGGAATCGGACGGAGCCGGGACTACAGGGGACCGGGGTCCCGCCCCACTCTTCCGGGATTTCCCGGGCCGACCGGAACTAGGGAGGAGCCACCCAACCGCGCCTCGCGGTTGGCAAGAGCAGCTGTCACTCATCTTTCAAGCGGCTCGGCACCGCCCAACGCCAGGGCAGCTAGCCGCGTGGGGAATGGGAAGGGAAGAGCGAAAGTTGCGGGCGTTTTAGCCCGCCGCTCTTGAGATGGAGGCGAGTCCGGCCGCGTCCCCTGGGCCTTCCCGCTCATTCAAGGAGGAGCTGCTCTGCGCGATCTGCTACGACCCCTTCCGCGACGCCGTCACTCTGCGCTGCGGTCACAACTTTTGCCGCATGTGTGTGACCCGCAGCTGGGAGGTGCAGGTGGCGCCCACCTGCCCGGTGTGCAAGGACCGCGCGTCCGCCGCGGACCTCCGCACCAACCACACCCTCAACAACCTCGTGGAGAAGCTGCTGCGCGAGGAGGCCGAGGGCGCGCGCTGGACCGGGCACAGATCCCCGCGCCTCTGCCGCCTGCACCGCGCCCAGTTCAGCCTCTTCTGCTTCGAGGACAAGGAGCTGCTGTGCTGCTCGTGCCAGGCTGACCCGCGGCACCAGGGGCACCGCATGCAGCCAGTGAAGGACACTGCTCACGACTTTCGGGTAAGAGCAGCAGTTTGCGGGAGGTGGGCGCGGGCCCAGTGTCCAGAACAGTAGACCTGAACCGGCGTTTGGCCGAGGTCTGGCCCGCTGGGGCAGTGCGTGCTTGTGAATGCCCTGAGTACGCCCAGAGGGAGCTGGCGATCGCTCGAGCGCACACGTGGTGGCCGAGCCAGGATCGGAACCCAGCATCCTGACACCACGGCCCGCCACAGCCAGCTGATTTATTCTGGGTCACTCTCTCAGCATCCCAATGCCTAGCGTTCAAGTGGCTATAAATAAAGCAAGAGGCAATTCACAGGCAAAACTAACCTGGAGAATTCTTTGGTAGAGGATGGGAGAATTATAAGGGTTAGCCTAACTCAGGATTTTTCAAAATTTTGATCTTAGCCCATAATAAGAAATATATTTTACATGGTGACGCAAAACACCCATACATACATATTGTTCAAAACAGAAGTTTTGTGAAAATGTCCATTGTGCTTTGACATTTTCTGTTCCTTTTTTTTTTTTTTTTTTTAAATATGCAGGTTGTGAAACACTAAATTTATTTCATCACTTACTAGTAAATGGCTCTACTCACAGCTTGGAAAACACTGGTTAGCTGGGGGAAGCCTAGTGTGCTGAAAAGGAGGCACTTCAAGAACCTGATGCCTGGTCTCAGACACTGGAGGCCTGGAGGAGGCAGGTGTGCCAGGTGCTGATTTGGGAGAGCTGAAGTAAACTAGTGGGGGGACCATGGATCAAGCCATGATTAATCCTTGTGGGGCTGGGGAGGTACAGATCAGAACACGGGCAGGGGTCAAGGCCAAGAGCAGTAAGACAAAGGCTGCAGGTTGGGACCAAGCCAGGATTCAACAACAGTGAAACCAGGTACCAGGGAGGAGTATTATGGTCTAAAAGCTTTTTGTTTATTCAGCAGGTGCCTTGTACTGCTGAGTCTCAGAGATATTGCAGGAGATGAGATAGACAGCAATTTCTACCCTCAAGGAGCTTCAAGCAGAGACCCGAGGGATGAGAAGGTGTTAGCTAGGTGAAGGAGGGGATTTCAACAGCATATGTAAGGGTTCAAAAGCAGGGAAGCCTGAGTTTCCAGGTACAAGAGAATTTCAGAGTACTTAGAATGGGAATGGAGTTCCTGGCTGGTGTGAACGGTTAATGTTCCTCGCTGCTGACTGAAAGGCTGGAAGTTCAAGTCCACTCAGAAGTGCCTCTCAAGAAAGGCTTGGAGATCTACTTCTGAAAAATCAGCTGTTGAAAACCTTATGGAGCACAGTTCTACTTTGGTACACATGGGGTGGCCATGCATCTGACTGGACTGGACAGCAGCTGGTTAGAGTAGGGATGGTGAGGGAGGAGGAGCCAGGCAGCTTGGAGGCTCTGCTTTTATCCTGAAGACTGTAGGAGCAGTCAAAGGGTGATATCTGAGGAGATAAGGAGTAGTCTAGGCCCAGAAGATCTGAGAAGAATACAACTGAGTGGGGTCAGCCTAATGCAGGATGGAATTCTTTCACTTATTAGGCACATATGTACTGAGTGCCCATTGTGTCCCAGGACCTCTTCTGGGTGCTAAGGCTACACAGGTCATATTTCTGGGGGAGAAGTCAGACAGTAAATAGACAGGATAAATTCAAGTGATAGTAGTTGCCATGAAGAAAATACAGAAGAGCAGTGAATGGGGAATAGAGGGCAAGTGCATTCTTCACAAAGTCGCAGAGATAAGAATGTGTAGCAGAATCTGTGACTTATAGGTTGTAACCTTTGTGATTGGAGAGTAGGGGGCGGTGGGGAGACTGAGCGATATGGAAAGTCTCCAGAGGTGAGAAGGGCTACCTGAGAAAGCTGTACACCCTGCAAAGGGGGGTTTCCAGTGTATGCTATGGGAAGTCCTAAAAGATTTTAAATAGGGGATTTTGTCATGAGATGTGTGCTTTAGGAAAACCGCTTGGGCAACCATATGAGGAATTTAGGAAAAATAATCATACCAGCTAAGACTTTTTGAACACTTAGTAAGTGCTAGATGAGACCTAGTGGCTCAGTGGTTAAGAGCTCAGCTGCTAATCAAAAGGTCGGCAGTTCGAATCCACCAGCTGCTCCTTGAAACTGTTTGGGGGCAATTCTACTCTGTCCTATAAGGTCGCTATGACTTGGAATCGTCTCAACGGCAACAGGTGTGTGTGTGTGTGTGTGTGTAGGTGCTTGTGTTGGCATGTGTCAACAAATTTAAATCCTCACAAAATAGTTTATTACTGCTGCCGTAACAAATTACCACAAACGTGGTGGTTTAAAACAATACACGTTTATTATCTTAGAGTTTTGGAGGTCAGAATTCCTAACATCCCGATATTGGAGGCTCTAGGGGAGAATCCACTTCCTTGTTATTCCCAGCTTCTAAAGGCCCCCCTTCCTTTATCTTCAAAGTACATCATTCCAACTTGTGCTTCCCTCATCACATTGCCTTCAATGACTCTAACTCTACTCCCTCCCTCTTACAAGATCCTTGTGATTACATTGAGCCTGACCAGATAATCCAGTATAGTCTCCCATCTCAAGATCCTTACCTTAATTTCATCTGCAAAGTCGCTTTACCATTTAAGGTAACATATTCACAGGTTCCAGAGATTAGGATCTGGACCTCTTTGGGGGGCTGTTATTCAGCCTGCCGCAGTTAGGTACTGTTATCCTGATTTTACAGACAATGAAATTAAGTCTCAGGGAAGTTATGTAACTCATCCAAAGTCTCAGAGCAAGTAGCTCTAGAATTCACTGGGGCCTTGTTCAGCTCCCACTCTGGCTCATGGACTCTGAGGGAAACTTCTCTTATCCCAGGATGAAACTTTCCCTGCTGGTCCTCTGTTCTGGGAGCTGTGTGGGACAGCTGACTAGGGGGAGGAGGGATACTGACAGCAACTATTTACTGAGTACCTACTATGTGCCAGGCACAGTATGAGGTGCTGGGGATCCAGTAGAGAATAGGACAGTCCTATGCCCTGCCTTCTTGGAGTCAGATAGACATGGATGCAGTAATCACACTAAAAATTATGTGGTTTCAGAGTAACATTCCTGTGGAGGAAAGTACAGGATGTGATGGGTGATTGTAACAGTGAGGCCTGATCTGGTCTGGTGGGACATGGGAAAGAGTCTCTGAGGAAGTGACTTCGTAGAGACCTGAGGGCTCAGAAGGAGTTAACTCGGTAAAAGGCAGCAGCCACGGTGATGGTGGGGCAGGGGGTGTGGGCAGAATGTTACGCCCAGGGAACGGGCTGGTCGCAGTAGCTGAGAGGCATTCTGGAGGAGGAATGAGATAGTCCTGATGTTGCAGGGCACTAACTGGCATGATCAGGTTCGAGGGTCTTGTCCTAAGTGCAGTGGGGCCCCATGGGAAGGACTGATGAGGTTCCAGAATGTGACATAAGTGTTTAATCAGAGTTCTAGGAGGAGCGTTAGAACATGAAGGGACCTTAGGAAACCCTGTAGAGCAGTGTTTCTCAAACTTGAACAATGTACACACTCTTCTTAAAGCAAGAAATAGTCCAACGAGATGACTTCAGTTATTATATATGTACAAACACTACATTAGTATAACTTCCTTTTGCTTATACCACATATAAGCAATGAAACCAAAAGGAGCGTACAAGAGTAAATACACACAAAACTAAAATCAGTCAAATTCCAGTTAAGATATTAATTACAAAGTTTTACTTTGCTTGGAGCTATGTTGCTGCTCCTGGGTGACTTTGAGACTTCCCTGGCAAAGACACTTGATTTCCCTCTTTTCCCTGTTTCAAGTGATTACTTGATTTGCCAGGCGAAATTTCCCTGTTTGAAGACCTGTGAAACGATCATATGACATAATAGGCCTTCATTTGGTTCTAGCACATTCTTTACCTGTTAAGTGTGTTTCTGTTCTTTTCTTATTATTAGGCCAGTACAATTAAAGGAGTAGAGCCTGGTGTCAAGTTAGTTGTTAACAAGACACAGATACGGGCACTGACGTTGTAGGAACAGGAAGCATGTGTCAGCTCTCTGTTTGTAAGATGACTCAGAAATGGGTTTATCTTAGTATTTTTTTAGATTATCATTAAATGAAAACACTAATTTAGAACACTCAAAGAAGACTTGCAAATCTAGCAAATACACAGCCCCAGCCCCACAGGGGACTGTAAGGAGATGATTACATATTTTATTGAGGAGAAAGCTGAGAGTTGGGAGAAATGCAGTGACTCGTTCTTATCACAGGGCATTATAGTGGTACACTAGAATCAGAACCCAGGCTACTGACTGCAGTCCAGCGTTCTCTCTGTACTATGATGCTGCCTTGCATCTCCAACATCAGACGCCCTCCAGCCTCTTCTTTCCCGAGCCCCAGTGTCTCCTTCTCCTTCTGGGCTTACCTTCTTAGAATCAGTCTGGCCAAATCTAACCTAAGGGTGTTCCAGGTACCTCTTAAGCCATATCAAAAGTCTTCCCCTTTTTAATTTCTCCCTCTTTTCCTAACTATTCACCGGCATCCCGGTTTCCTGGCTTATAGGCCAGTCCCTACCAAGGTTGCAGTTGCACCAAAGAACATTTATCACCTGCTTGGCAAGGCATGTGACCAAGGGGAGGGTGGAGTCTTATTAACCACTGTTGACTGATGCCCCTAAGTTGCGTGGCCCCAGCACTGGGTGCCATGATGTTGTTATTAGCTGCCATGGAGTCATTCTGACTCATGGTGACCCCATGTGTTACAGAATAGAGCTACTCCATAGGGTTTTCAAGGCTGTGACCTTTCAAAAGCAGATGCCAGGCCTGTCTTCTGAGGCAACTCTGGGTGGTTTTAAACTGCCAGCCTTTCAGCTAGTAGTCAAGTACTTAACTGTTTGCACCACTGTTGATAATATTAGAATTATTTTTACTATTTCTCCAAAGAAAATTTTGAAACACTTTCTCAATGTAGAGAGGAAAGGATAAAGATGGAGAGAAAATGATAGGAATCCAACCTAAATCATATAGTGGTTTTTCAAGTAGACCAAGGAGATCAGAATCAATAATTAAAATTAAAAACAAACTTTACTAAAAAAAAAAAATACTTGAATTTGCTGGTTAAGGTTTTTCACATAATTCAAACAATATGAGAATACTGGAGTAAGGCAGAGGTAAAGGTGGACATGTAGTTTAGGTAAGGACTCATGGAAATAACTGTTGTTAGTTGCTGTCAAGTTGGCTCCGACTCATGGCAACCTTATGTATAACAGAACAGAACCTTGCCCAGTCCTGTGCCATCTTCACCATCATTGATATGTTTGAGTTCTTTTTTGTGGCTTTTGTGTCAACCCATGTCATGAAGGGATTCCCTCATTTTTTGTTGGCTCTTTACGGAACATGATATCCTTTCCTAGCAATTGGTCTTTCCTGATGATGTGTCTGAAGTAAACGAGTTGAAGTCTTGTTATCCTTGCTTCTTAGGAACATTCTGGTTGTATTTCTTCTGTCAGTCCGCACTATATTCAGTATTTTTTTGCCAGCACCACAATTGAGTGCATCCGTTCTTCTGTCTTCATTTTTCTTTACCCAGCTTTTGCATGTGTATGAGATGATTGAAAAGACCACGGCTTGGGTCAGACACACCATAGTCTTTGCTTTTTAAGGCTTTAAAGAGGTCTTTTGCAGCAGATTTGCCCAATGCAATATGTCGTTTGATTTCTTAGCTGCTGCTTCCAGAATAACTGTACCCTGTGTGAAATAACTGAATCATCCCTATAATCAGACCTGGTCATTAGTGACTGCAGACCAGTTCAGTTTAGAATGTAGAGCTTGGAGCCTGTGACCACACCGACTTTGTAGCCTCGCTCACAGCTCAGGGATTCACAGTCCAGCCTGGACCAGCTTTGCCCAAGCAGGATGCCCTTCTGTGCTGTAATGTGATCAACTTAAGAATCAACAAATCCTTTTACCACAGAGGCCCTGACTCCCCATCTGTACCGGGTATAAAATAAAGGGGCTGGGCTAGAAGATAGGGCCCTGGAAGCTGTAAACTTTGGATTCTAGGTCAGGAATTGTACTTACTATTCAGCTGTGCCCTACAGTGCATGGCATGTACCAGGCTCAGTAAATGTTGTTGAATTGTACTGACATTAAGATGAAATTCCAGTGTAAATGTGGTGTGGCTGTCCTCCCCAACCTGGTCTCCAGCCCTAACTTGCCTTTTTGTTTCCATCTGGTTCTTTCCCATTAGGCCAAGTGTAGGAACATGGAGCATGCACTGCGGGAGAAAGCCAAGGCCTTCTGGGCCATGCGGCGTTCCTACGAGGCCATTGCCAAGCACAATCAGGTGAGTGAGGGTTTGGGCCGAGTAAGGAGGTTGGGGACCCCAGGGAAGTTGGGGAGAGGTGAGGGTGTGACTGAGTCACCCACCAGGTGACTGTTGGTGCAGAGTCTGCCCTCCTCAGCTCTGACGTCCTTGTACCCCTGGGCCCTCTGAAGCTGTCTGTGTCTACCCTGCCTTGACACCTTTAAAGACAGCATGCCCATGCCAGCAGCCAGGAAAGTGACTTAAAAAGCCACCAAAGCCCTGTTCACGGTGGCTGAAGAATAACTTTCAGCATGTGCCATACTTCGCCATCTACCCGTTTGTTCAAGCTAACCGTGACCTGGGAGTCATTAGTGACTCTTCTTCTCCTCTCATTCCCCACGGTCCCGCCATCTGCAATCCTGTCCCTCTGTCTCCAAAATGTATCGTGTCTGTCTAGCATTCTCCATCTCCACGGCTACCACCCCCGTGCAGGTCACCATGATCTCGCTCTCACCTGGACTTCTGCAGTAGCTTCCTAACTGGTCTCTATGTATCCCTTCATGTTCTGCAACCCACCCTCTATGGACTGGAGAGGTCTTTTAGAAAAATGCATTGATTATGTCACTCTGCTTAAAACTGCTCCGTGGCTTCCTGTCACACTCAGAATAAAATCCAGACTCCTTACCATGGTCTCCACAGCCATCATCTGACCCTTGCCTGCCTCTTCAACAGTCTCTGCCTGGCATTCTGCTCCTGCCACACTTAAACAAGCTGAGCCCCTTGGAGGCTTTTCCTCAAATTCTCCCCCTGTCAGCTTCTCTGTCATTAAAATCTCAACTCTGATGTCCTTTCTGAGAAGCTTTTCCCAATCACCCCATCCTAAGTAACCTTTCTTTTTACTCTCCATCATATCTCCTTGTTTATTTTCTTCACAACACTCATTACCTATAATTATCTTTCTTATTTTCTATTAGAATATAATGAAAGCAGGGCACACTCTTCCCAGTATCTGGAAGAGCTCCTGGCATATAATAGGTGAACAGTAAATGTGTGTTAATTGAGTGAATGAATTGGCTCCCCTCTGTCACTGCTCACATTGTTATACCCTGGCACCCTCTCTTCATCTGAGTCCTGTTTTGATTGGCAGCCTGGTTTCTCACTGTTTGTCCTGGCTCTGGTCTGTCACTTCCTGAGGCTATTGCTTCTAGTAATTATTGCTCAGTTGGCCATCATAGCCACAGATGAGACATAACCTGCTCGGGCTGCTGGGCTCTGCCCAAAAAGGCCTGCAGTGCCCAGCAGTGTGCACGGAAGAGGATTAGGCTTAAGAAAGAGCCTCATTAACAGCTAGCCAAGGAATTTCCACCAAAGCCCCAGAGCTGGTAGAACAGAGCAAAAGAAGGTTTGCAAAATGTTGAGAAGCTGGGCAGAAGCCTCAAAGTACACCTGTTTTCAAACCCAACCCGGGTTCTCCAGGCAAATCCCTCAACCCCTCCAAGCTAATCTCCTCGTCCCTCTTACATGGGGTTGTTATGAGTCGGAATTGACTCCACAGCACCCAATAACAACAATGGATCTTTTAAACATTCAGATAAGATAATGTGTATGAAGTGAGCAACAGAGAGGTCATTTGTCAAATGTTAGTCCTCTCATTTCTGATGTCTTACAGACCAAGAAGCCGGTTTGAGAGATGACATTTTTCACTTTTTCAGTGAGTCATTTTGTCAGTATATTGGCAGAGCCATAAACATATAGTGGGGTTTCAGTCAAACACACTTTCAGTGCTAGAGCTCAGCTTTTGAGTTTCTGTAATAGTGGTCAGGGAATTATAGAGCCTCATCTCTACTTTTACTGAATGTCCTTTGTGACCAAAGCCATGTGACTGGCTTGCCTTGTAAGGAGTCTGGGGAGCATCCATCCTGTCCACGTTGCACGACCTATCTGCCCATCCAGTCATGGTGGAACTCTAAGCTTTTTGCTGGGGGGCAGTGGTGGTTCACTGGTAGAATTCTTGCCTTCCATGTGGGAGACCCGGGTTCGATTCCTGGCCAGTGCACATCGTGCGCAGCCACCACCTGTCTGTCAGTGGAGATTTACGTGTGGCTGTGATGCCGAAGAGGTTTCAGTAGAGCTTACAGACTAAACTGACTAGGAGGAAAGGCTTGGCAATCTATTTCCAAAAATCAGCCAGTGAAGTCCCAGTGTATCACAACAGTCCAATCCAGTTGTATACAGGGTTGCCATGAGCCGGGGGCTGACTCGACAGCAGCTAGCAACAGCAATAACAAGAAGCAGTTTTTTTTTTTTTTTTTTTAAATTGCGGTTTAGGTGAAAGTTTACAGCTCAAGTTAATTTCTCATACAAAAATTTATACACATATTGTTTTGTGACATTAGTTGCAACCCCCACAATGTGACAGCATACTCCCCCTTTCCACCCCAGGTTCCCTGTGTGTCCATTCAGCCAGTTCCTGCCCCTTCCTGCCTTCTCATCCTGCCTCCAGACAGGAGCCGCCCATTTGGTCTCATGTATGATTGAACTGAGAAGCACACTCCTCACATGTATTATTTTTTTGTTTTATAGTCCTGTCTAATCTTTGTCTGAAGAGCGGGCTTTGGGAATGTTTCATTTCTGGGTTAACAGAGCATCTGGGGGCCATAGTTTCGGGGGTTCCTCCAGTCTCTGTCAGACCATTAAGTCTGATCTTTTTACGTGAGTTTGAGTTCTGCTCCACACTTTTCTCCTGCCCCGTCTGGGACTCTCTGTTGTGTTCCCTGTCAGGGCGGTCACTGGTGGTAGCCAGGTACCATCTAGTTCTTCTGGTCTCAGGCTGGTGGAGTCTCTGGTGTATGCAGTCCTTTAGTCTCTTGGACTAATATTTTCCTCGTGTCTTTGGTTTTCTTCATTCTCCTTTGCTCCAAGTGAGATGGGACCAATTGATGCATCTTAGGTGACTGCTTCCAAGCTTTTAAGACCCTAGATGCCACTCACCAAAATGGGATGCAGAACATTTTCTTAGTAAACTTTGTTATGCCGGTTGACCTAGATGTCCCCCAAAGAAGCAGCTTTTTGCTGAAGCAAAGGGTAACATGGTTAGGTGTGAAGACTCTAAGGATTCCAGTTTGATTAATATCCTCTTAAATTCAGTTAACCTAGCTTGGTGAGTAGAATGAAAGTTTTGATATTTCCTCTAGTATTCTGAGGCTGTCATTGCCAGCACTGCAGGTGGCTAGGGTTTATTTTGCACTTGCTGGCTTTTCCTGCTTTGTTCTGTTCTTTACCTTCCATTGTAATAATAATCATCCTAGATTTTACTCTCTCCAACACTATACAACAATACTTAATATTTGCCAGCCTGGTATTCCAACAGTGCTGTCTGTTCTCATTTGCATTTATTTGATTATTGATCATTTCACATGTATAATAGCCATTTGCTTTTCTCTGTGAATGACAATTCACATTCCTTTTTTCTTGGGATATTTGTTTTTCTCTTAGTGGATTTGTAAGAGTGCTTTGTATAGTCAAAATGATAAGAGTCTGTTATATATGTTGTACATATTTTTCCTAGTTTGTCATTTCTTTTTCAATGAGTCAGTTTTTTACTTTTTTTTTTTTTTTTTGTCATTTTCACTTTTTCGGGGAGTCATTTTGTCATATTGTCAGAGCCATAAGCAGATTATCTTGAACTTTCAATCCAAAGATGTGTTTACTAACCTGCATTGCTAGAGCACATATTTTGAGTTGTTTTTCCAATCATGGTCGTGAATTTAATTTATGTGTTTAACTTTGTTATAGTCTCTTGTCATGTAAAACTTATTTTTGTATGTATTTAATTGTCTCATTCTGTATGTATTCAGTTATTCTTTCTTTGGGGCTCTTAATGTTTATATTATACTAAGCAGGGTCTTTCTCATTCCAAAATGAGAAATATTCTTCTGCTTTTTCTTTGCATGCATTTATGGCTTTGTTAAACTTTATCTGTGCTTTTTGTTATGTTTAGGTCTATGCCTGCTATTAATGATTTATTTTTAAAATAAGTATTTCCTACTACTCTTGTAGTAAGCCTCTAGATCAGACAAATTTGAAGCCCTGAGATTGGAAGACAAATATTTTTTAAAAATCATTACTATTTGTAACAATTTATTTCTGTCATTCAGTATTTTTCTTGCTGCTGTTTAAGATACAGAACATTGTACTTTGAGGAGGTTATAGGACTACAGTTGTCATCTATAGGCGATAATTTTATTTTATTTTATTTTTCAGTTTGTCAGAACAATTTCATTATGCTACTTGCATGTCCCATTTTAAATTTGAACTTACAGATTTCTGCTAATAAAATACTACCCTATATTTTATTCATTGGGGTTCTACATATGATTTCTTTTGAAATTAGAGTTCCTGTGCTAAAAATCTGTGCTAGGTGATTGCTAAGATTCCGTGTCTGACCTTCTGTGACTTGAGGGCTCTCAGCTCTCTCCCGCTCTCTGCCGTAGGTGGAGGCTGCCTGGCTGGAAAGTCGAATCCGACAGGAGTTTGACAAGCTTCGAGAGTTCTTGAGGGTGGAGGAGCAGGCCATCCTGGACACCATGACTGAGGAGGCCAGGCAGAAGCAGCTTCTGGCAGAGGAGAAGATGAAGCAGCTCACGGAAGAGACAGAGGCGCTGGCACGTGAGATTGAGCGACTGCAGAAGGAGATGAAGGAAGATGATGTTTCTTTTCTTATGGTAAGGAGTCATCATCCTGTTCCAGGGACTGGAGGTAGATGTTCAGGAACCAGGAAGAGCTGCAGACTATCAGCCCTGGCCGATCCAGTCTTCTGGTAGCTTCCTGGACACTGGCCTGGAGCATCTTACAGATGAGGTGCTCTGCTTATATAAAGAGGCTATAAAATTTTAATCAGGTCAGAGTTTCTTGAGAGTCTTCATTTCTCTCTCCCTCTCCCTTTCTGTCCTTTTTTTTTTTTCTTTCTTTCTCTTCCTCTCATCTTGTCACTCCTTCTTAATATAACTGAAGTTTTTTTTAAAACTATTCAATTATTTGATTTTTTAATTTAAATATGATGTTTTGGTATTCTCTAATTTTTTTTATAAAGATGACTCCATTCTCTCTTTTTTTTTTTTAAATGTTGAGTTTATTCCCCCACCCCGTTTTATTGACTTCATTTTTCCCCCATGAGTCATTGGGTCTTTATGGAGAAGTTTCCCTAATTTGAAAGCTGGTTTGGAAACTGGTCATGGTAGAGAGCTGTATCCTCAACTTGGAGAACAACTGGTCGCTCTGGAAAGGGGAGTCTTTGTAGAGCAGAATGGGAAGGGACAGGGACATCTCTCTGCTCAGGCAGGATGTTACATCCTGGTAGGACCTTCACGTGGTCTTAACATCATACAAAGCCCTGAACCATGATGTCTCTTGTCTCCAAAATGCCCCTGATTATAAAATCATTTGATGGGTTCTAAGAGCTGGGCTCCTTGCTGCTTCTGCTTAGGATATTGGGAGTGTTATTTTGCTCAGTACTCAAATGCGATTTCAGGAATCGTTTTATGACTCATTTTTTTTGACTGAGATATATTCACATATCACATAATTCATCCATTTAAAGTGTACAATCCAGTGGCTTTAGTATATCCATAGATTTGAACAGCCATCACAACAATCAAGTTTAGGACATTTTCATCACCCTGAAGAGAAACCTGTACCCTTTAGAAGTCACTCTCCACTCTTCCCCTCCCCCAGCCCCTGGCAACCACTAATCTACTTTCTATCCCTATGGATTTGTCTATTCTGGACATTTCATATAAATGGAAGCATTCAATATGTGACCTCTTGTGAATGACTTCTTTCACAAGGCTCATCCAACTTGTAGCTTGTATCAGTACTTCATTCCTTTTTATACCAAATAATATTCCATTGAATGGGTATACTAATCCAAAAACAAAAACAAACCAAACTCACTGCTGTCGAGTTGGTCCCAACTCATAGTGATGCTGTAGGACAGAGTAGAACTGCCCCATAGGGTTTCCAAGGCTTTAAATCTTTACAGAAACAGACTGCTACATCTTTCTCCTGTGGAGCAGCTGGTGGGTTCAAACTTCCAAATTTTCAGTTAGGCAGCTAAGCGCTTTAACCACTGTGCCACCAGGGCTTCTTAATGGGTATACTACATTTTATTTATCCATTTATCTATGAAAACCACAATGAGATACTTCATACCCACTAGGATGGTTAAATTTTAAAAGACAGATAATGACAAGTGTTGATAAGAATGTGGAGAAATCAGAACTCTCATACATTGCTGGTGGGAACGTAAACTAGTGCAGCCACCTTGGAAAAGTCTGGCTGTTCCTCAAAAGGTTAAATGTAGAGTTGCCATATGACCCAGCAGTTCTACTCCTAGGTATATACCTAAGAGAAATTAAAACATACACCCACATAAAAATCTGTACACACATATAGCAGCATTATTCACAGTAGCCAAGAAGTGGAAATAACCCAGATATCCGTCAACTGATAAATGGGCACCTTAATGGTTATGAAAACCAAAAACCAAACTTGTGGCCATCAAGTCGATTCTGACTCATAGTGACCCTGTAGGACAGAGTAGAACTGCCCTATAGGGTTTCCAAGGAGCAGCTGATGGATTCGAACTGCTGACTTTTTGGTTAGCAGCCAAGCTCTTAACCACTGCACTACCAGAGCTCCCTTAATGAGTATACTACATTTTATTTATCCTTTTATCAGTTCTTTTTTGATGACTCTGTCTTAAGTTGGTTCTTATGTAAGTCAAATACCTCTTTTTTTTTAGTTTTCATTATTATTGCCTTTTATTATCATTATCTTTATAAACTCAGTCTTTGAACATCTGTGAGTGAACATCTGAGAATAATAACATCAGCAAATTATGCGCTGTAACATTGTATATAGTACATATTACTAACGATAAGATGTAAAAAAAAAAAAAGGTGGTCGTAAGTGCAGTTTGTTGTAACTTGAATATGTCATAAGTCAGGGACTACAAACATTTTCTCCCATTCTATGGGTTATTTTTTTTACTTTTCCTGATGGTGTCCTTTGCAGCACAAAAGCTTCAAAAATTTTGGTAGAGTACAGTTTATTTTTTCTTTTGTTGCTTGTGCTTTTGGTATCTTATCTAAGAAACCACTTCCTAGTCCAAAGTCATGAAAATTTACACCTGTGTGTTCTTCTAAGAGTTTTATAGTTTTAACTCTTAAATTGAGGTCTTTGATGAATCTTCAGTTAATTGTTATGTATAGTGTGAGGTAGGGGTCCAACTTTATTCTTTCATGTGGGATATCCAGTTGTCCCAGCACCATTTGTTGAAAAGACTGTTCTTTTCCCATTGAGTTGTCTTGGCACCCTTGTCAAAAATCAATTGACAGCAAATTTGAGGGTTTATTTCTGGACTTCAATTCTACTCCATCGAACTATGTATCTGCCCTTACATTAGTACAGCATGATCTTGATTACCATTGCTTTGCAGTAAGTTTTTGAAAATGGGAAGTGTGAATCCTCCAACTGTGTTCTTCTTTTCCAAGATTGTTTTGGCTCTTTTGGATTCCTTGAATATCCATGTAAATTTTAGAATCAGTTTGTTAATTTCTGTAATGAAGTCAGCTGGAATTTTGCTAGGGATTGCATGAATCTGTGGGGAGTATTGCCATCTTAACACTACTAAATCTTCCAATCCATGAACTAAGACTCGTTTTTAGTTCAGAAACTTAAATTTTTTTTGTGTGTGTGTCTGTGTTTGTGTCTCTGTGGTTTTCCTTTCTTTCAGAAGCACAAGAGCCGAAAACGACGGTAAGTTACCAAGGCTGGTGGAGGGGTCGGGGGAAGAGCAAGCAGAAATACCAGGGTACAATCTCCAGTGGCTCCAGGGGCCAGGCAGGTAATGAAGCGAGTTGGGCACAGCGCAAGAGGAGTGGTGGGGGTTGATACCCGAAGAGAGTCCTCCTTCAAGACATTCCCGTTCCAATTTTGTATTGGAACATGCAGTTTGTCTCCTGAGTGTGGATGGCCACCGTCCACCATATGGGAAGAGAGAGTGCTCTCCTGTACTTAACTCATGCTTCTCATTTTGACTCATTTGTCAGCCTCCGCTCTGAGAGCCTCAGTGCATACTGGTCTGTGTTGATCGTTGCTGGTTTCAACAAAGGAAGAACTTTGTTTTAGGCAGAACTGTCCAAAAATGGAAAAGAGTTCTTTGGGCAGTAGTGAGCACTTGGAGGTGTTCAAGCAAAGGCTGGATGACAGCTTGCTGGGGGTTCAAGCAACGACTGGGACTACTGAACTAGATGACCCTTAAGGTCTCCTCCAACTCAGACATCCTATGAGTGGATGTGTGAGTGTGGTTTCTGTCTGAGAACCTCATACTTATATTTACCCCACCTTGGGCAAGGCAAGTTCTCAGACTGAATCCCTGGTTGGGGTAGCAGCCCACTTTGCTCCTGGTTCATCTACCGCAGAGCCCAGTCCAAGTTTGTCTTGGGGAAGGTGTCCAGGAAATTTAGACCTGAGGCAAGGAACAAGACCTGTTCCCTGTTTCCAGTTGTCCCCAGTTAGGCCCAGGATCCAGGCGAGCCCTGCCCACCATGCCCATTTTTCCTTTCCCAGACTCTTTTGCACCATGGAGCCAGAACCTGTCCAGGCTGGCATGCTGATCAACGTCTGTAAGTACCTGGACTCCCTGCAGTACCGTGTCTGGAAGAAGATGGTCATGTCTGTTGAACCTGGTGAGTTGGGGTGGGTCAGGGTAGGTGCTATGGGCTGGGAGGGAAGCACTTCCTGCTGGGCAGAGAGCCAGCTGAACTCATTTCTTCCAGGTTCTCTTCTCTCACACCTGTCCTTGTCTCTACCCCTTTCTTCTCAGCAGGCCCCAGTATCCTGCTACTCCCCCAGTCTTTGCTCTCACTGCTCACACCCCTCCTGGCAGAAGTTATTCCTCTTTGGGTTCTGACTCTTCCACCTCTTCGGGAAGAGAGACTGACTTCCTCTGTATTCAGATTCCTATTGTATACACAGTGAAAGACCTCCTCATTCCTCAGAAGCCCTTTATTTCCAGGATCACCTACCTCTCCCAAGGTGACCCAGGCCATGAGTCTGTATATCATGGCTTTACAGGGAGAAATGTTAGTGACCCAAAGGAGTGTCATGTGCTTTCCTAAGACATCCCTGCTCCTCAGCCAGGGCTGCTGCCTCATTTATCTGGGGCCAGGCAGGTCATAGTTGTCAGTTTGGGTGGGGGATGGAGACATCAGCTGGCATGGCAGAAGGAAGGGATATGAGATTTGCTGATCCCCTCTCCCCCACTTTTCCCCTCTGCTCTCAGTGCCCTTCAGCTTCGATCCCAACACGGCGGCCGGCTGGCTCTCAGTCTCCGATGACCTCACCAGTGTCACCAACCACGGCTACCGGGTCCAGGTGGAGAACCCGGAGCGCTTCTCCTCGGCGCCCTGTCTGCTGGGCTCTTGTGTCTTTTCCCAGGGTTCCCACGCCTGGGAGGTCGACCTTGGGGGGCTGCAGAGCTGGCGGGTGGGCGTGGTGCGGGTGCGCCAGGATGCCAACACAGAAGGACACTCACACAGCTGTTACCACGACACCCGCTCTGGCTTCTGGTACATGTGCCGCACACAGGGGGCAGATGGGGACCACTGCATGACCTCAGACCCGTCCACACCTCCCTTGGTCCTGGGCATCCCACGCCGCCTGCGAGTGGAGCTGGAGTGTGAGGAGGGTGAGCTGTCCTTCTATGATGCCGAGCGTCACTGCCACCTCTACACCTTCCACGCCCGCTTCGGGGAGGTGCAGCCCTACTTCTACCTGGGGGGCATGCAGGTGGACGCGCCACCGGAGCCTCTGCGCATCTGCCCCCTGCGTATCACCGTCAGGGAAGAGCTGGATGGCTGAGGCTGGGCCAGGTGCTGCCCAGGTCTCCTTTCATGGCCTTTCTTCCTCCTAGTGCCCACATTCACCTCAGTACCTCTCTACCACCTACCTTCTAGCCAGGGATCTTCCTACTCTTTATCCTGTCCTTTCGCATGACTCCAGACCCCAAGCCTCTGTCTTCAATTTTGGTTCTTTCTGTACTCTCAAGTCCCTGGGTGGCACAGTTTGCACTCGACTACTAACTTAAAGGCTGGCGGTTCAAACCCACCCAGCAGTGCCATGCAAGAAAGGTGTGATAAACTGCTGTCATAAAGATTATAGCCAAGAAAACCTTATGAAGCAATTCTACTCTGTAACACATGGGGTCACCACGAGTCATAAGTGACTGGACAGCAACGGATTTGGAGTCATCAGGAGGTGCCTTACTGGACCCAGGCTCTTCCCTAGAGTCAGTGGCACTTTCAAGCATGTGGGCTAATTCTGACCTCTCTGGGATTAATGTTTGCTTCTAGGATGGACCCCTGCCATGGCTTCGGGCAGGATCCAGGGTTCAGCTTTCCTGTTGCTTTTTATCAGTATTTTAAAACTGTGCTCCACAGCCTCCCTGGGGTTCTCCACTGGGGAGCCAGGGCTACCCATCAGATCAGCTCTGATTTCTCTAGTTCCGTTTGTATGACTTCCAAGGCACTTAAAAACAATGTTTACAACCATGGCTTTAGACCCCTTCCCTCTCTGGGCCTCAGTTTTCTTATGTATAAATGAGATAGTTGGTCTAGCATATGTCAGTCTGTCCAGGCTGTGGAGGAAACGCCTCTGATTCTTATAAAGGAGAAAAGAAGGGAATGGGGGCCTGTTCAGTTAGGAAGAAAGGAAAGTGAAGATGTGGTCTGAGGTGGTGCTGTGGAGTGAGCGAGGGGGTGCCACACTCTGCCTCTGCTACTCCCTTGCCTTTGCTTAACCTCAACCTGCCTCATCCTGAGCCTCTTGCTCTGCCACTTGTTTTGTTTTCATCCTGGTTTCTTGTCCCTTCCTGGTCCCTATAGACTTGTACTTCAGCCCTTCTTTTCTATACATGCCTACAGATAGTTTCTAATTGTCGACTTTTTGTGTCTTGGCAGCAACACTATAAAGGAAATGCTTTCCTGTAGGCACGGTGTTATAACTGGGGCCACTTACCTGACTGAGGACCCAGCATCCTCCCTCCTGCCTGTGCTCCACAGTTCACAAAAACTGACGTTTCAAATAGAGTATGATTCAGGCCCTGTGCATTGGTTACCAATGTGCTGTGTACGTTGATGAGACTAAAAAGTAGTGGTCACAGGGAGAGACCAGTAGGAAATTTCACTGTGAAGCGGGCCAGGTGGGAGTGGTGGGATGAACTAGCGAGGGCATGCCCCATCTGAAGGCCCTCAGACTCAAAAAAGTTTATGCATCTGAGGCCAGTGTGAGGCCTCTACTACACAATATTTATCTAGCCCATAAAAATCCTTCTGTATAATAAACTTAATTTTTTTTTTAATTTCTATTTTAGATGTTGGAAAATTTTTTTTTTAGGATAATTTGGAATTTGGATAGCCTGGGCCTGTTTTTAAAAAAGTAAATTGAAATTTGAGCTAAACCCCACTTTTTCTTTTGACATTTTCCATTCATTGTTCCAGTAAGCAAAAGCATTAAAGATCACCTCGTAGCTTCTGAATTGCACTTTATAAGATGGATTTTATTTTGTTTTTAAATGACCAACACAACATTTAAAATATGTGAAGCCTCACCAGGGACTTTATTTGTGGAATTTTGGAAAGGAAGTTTTTTGTTTTTTTTTTAAACTTGCTCTTGTTCATCTTTCCCTCCTACTACAGTGGTTAAGAGCCCAGCTGCTAACCAAAAGGTCTGCAGTTTGAATCCACCAGCCACTCCTTGGAAACCATTTGGGGCAGTTCTGCTCTGTCCTATAGGGCCACTATGAGTTGGACTCAACTGTACACCATTGGGTTTGGTTTTTTGACATAACCAAGGGGAAAAAAGTTTTTAATGTAGGTCACAGGGACTGAGCCAAAGGATCAGGGTTGGCTCCAGTCCTGTTTTCTTTTTTGTTGTTTATAATATACACAGCAGAACCAGTTCAACAATTTCTATGTGTATGTGACATTGTTATATTCTTCAAGTTGTGCAACCATTCACACTTGCCTTTTCCAAATTGTTCTTCCCCCATTGACATAAACTCACTGCCCCCTAAGCTTCTTATCTAATGTTTCGAGTTGCTGTTGTCAATTTGATCCCATATAGATAGTTCTTAAAAGAGCACAAGGCTCAAGGTAGACATTCTTTAGTAATTAAACTATTATTTGGTTTACAGAGCCCTGGTGGCACGTAGTTAAGCGATCGGCTGCTAACCAAAAGGTCGGCGGTTTGAACCCACCAGCTGCTTCTCGGGAGAAAAATTTGGCAGCCTGTCTTGGAAACCCTACGAGACAGTTCTACTTTGTCCTATAGGGTTGCTATGAGTCTGAATTGACTTGATGGCAGCAGGTTTGCTTTTTATTTGGTTTTTGGTGTTATTTGGTTTAAAGAAGACTTCAGGGGATATTTCTGGTTTAAGGTTAAATTTTATCTCAGGGCGAGCTGTCCTGTGACGCGGAGCACCACTGTCACCTCTGCACCTTCCACACCCGCTTCGGGGAGGTGTGGCCCTACTTCTACCTGGGAGGCATGCAAGTGGACGTGCTGCTGGAGTCTGCTCATCACCGTCAGGGAACAGCTGGACAGCTGAGGCTGGGCTGGGTACTGCCCAGGTCTCCTTTCATGGCCTTTTTTGCTCCAAGTGCCTCCATTTGCCTCAGTACCTCTCTATCACCCACCTTCTAGCCAGGGATCTTCCTACTCTATCTTGTCCTTTTCTGTAACTCCAGACCCCAATCCTCTATCTTCATTTTTAATTCTCTACCCACAAACCCCTGGGTGGCACAGATGGATTGCACTCGACTGCTAATCTAAAGCTAGCAGTTCAAACATACCCATGGTGCCATGCAAGAAAGGCATGGTGAACTGCTGTCATAAAGATATAGCCAAGAAAACGCTATGAAGCAGTTCTACTCTGATACATGGGGTTGCCATGAATTGGAATTGACTGGACAGCAATCGGTTTGCCGGTCTTCAGGAGGTGACTTACTGGACCCATGTTCTTCCCTAGAGTCAGTGGCACTTTCAAGGATGTGGGCTAATTGTAGCATGGCCTTCCTGGGGCACTGGTCAGTATGGGCCCTCCACTTTGTCTCAGTGGCCAGAGGTGACATACAGAGAAAGGACTGCTGGGCTTCTCATGGAGTATGTCTACCTCTGAGTCTACCTGCTCTCAGAGGGCCTAGCAGGGCCTCTTTCTACTTAGCAGGCATTGCACTCTGAGGGCCCCACCATCTCCCAGTGCACATCTAAAACTAAGCTCATCCTCTCACATTCCACTTTCCCTGGAGAGTTATCCTAGAAAAATTGTTTCTGTTTTTTTTTAACAGCTTTATTGAGATATAATTCATATACCATTCAACTCACCTATTTAAAGTGTACAATTCAGTGATTTTTAGTATATTCACAGAGTTGTGCAAACATCACCGCAATTTTAGAACATTTCATCACCCCAAACAGGAAATCCCGTATTCTTCAGCAGTCACTCTCAATTTCCCTCCAACCCCCAGCCCTAAGCAACCACTCATCTACATTCGTTTAGAGATCAATGGAATTGTATAATATGTGGTTCTTTGTGACTAGCTTCTTTTACCTAGAGTAATGCTTTCAAGATACATCCATGTTGTAGCATGTATCAGTACTTCATTTCTCTTTATTGTCAAATAATGTACCGTTGTATGGATATACCACATTTTATTTTCCGTTCCTAAGTTGATGGATATTGGAGTTGTTTTCACTTTTTGGCTGTTTCCACTTTTTGGCTCCTATGAACATTCATGTACAAGTTTTGAGCAGGTATATGTTTTCATTTCATTAGACATGTACTTATGATAACTCCTTGAAGCCCCTGGGTGGCACAAATGGTTAAGTTCTTAGCTACTAACTGAAAGGTTGGCAGTTTGAGTGTTCCCAGAGGCGCCTCAGAAGAAAGCCCTGGTGATCTACTTCTGAAAGATCACAGCCATTGAAAACTCTATAGAGCATAGTTCTACTCTGACACATAGGTTGCCATGAGTCGGAATTGACTGGATGTCAGCTTTTTTTTTTTTTTTTTTTATGATAACTCTCTATGTTTAACCATTTGAGGAATTGCCAGACTGTTTTCCAAAGTGGCTGCACCATTTTACATTCCCACCAGCAATGTATGAGAGTTTCAATTTCTTTACAAACCAACACTTGTTATTATCTCTTATTTTTTTTATTCTAGCACCCTAGTGGGTGTGAAGTGGTATCTGGTAGTTGTGATATCCTTGCTTGCCTGTTGCATTTCTGCCTGCCACTGCACTTTTTTCATCCTGCAGGAAGAGCACTTACAAGGTAGAGCTGACTTTGCTGTCTTCCCTGCACAGAAATTTTTGAGTGTAGGAACCACATCATCTTCACGTTTATATGCCGGGATCCAGGTGTGTTGCTAGTGCTTAATAAATGATTATTGAATGGACACACCATTGGATGTGTGCACTGGTTTCAAGAAAGCTGTTTCTGAAAGCTACACCAAACAGCTGGCAGTACCTTGGGTAAGGAGAGAAGTGGCGTGAAACCTGAAGTCAGGCCTGGGTGCACATACCACTCCATGACATGAGCCACCCCAGCCTCTTCCAACTTCTCTGAACCTCGACTCCCTTATGTAAATGGGGATTGCAATATCTACCTCAAGCTGTTGTGGGAATTAAATGAAGCAGCCTTTTGTAGGTACCCTGAACATAGCATAGGCTTAATACATGTTTGCTAATTTCTTCAGAAAGCGGGAGCTTCTGAATGTTGAAATAATGATTCATAATAATGAAGAATCCCCAAGAAAAGTGAGAAATACAAGTTATCTATGTTGAAAGTGCTAAAATTTCCTCAGATTTTTAACGAAGTGTACATAAAGCTTATATTTATGCAGAATTTCAGTAACGTGGGGGAATGATTATGTTGTAGTAACAGAAAAAGAGGATTTAAAGTTATACATGCAGCCATGCAATACACACAAAGACATGCAGGATCTCATTCTTTTTTTTTTTAAATAGTTTGTATTATTTGATTAGGTAATCCATTTACATGACTGATTCCAAAAGTACAAAAGGTACTAGAACAGTCTCCTGCTTCTACCCAACCACTCAGCTCCCCACCCTGTAGGCAATCCATATTACCAGTTTTTTGGGAATCCTTCCAGAGATATTTTGTGCATAGCACATATTCTGTTTATGAGTATATTCCAGTTCCCCAAGTACACTGTAGTTTAAGAGCAGATACACTAGCATTTTATCCCTAAGCAACCCAACCAAGAGGAGAAAACTAAAACAAAAAGGATATTATTAAATAACTTTTTTCTCCTCAAGGCAGGTTTATCCTGGATATTTTCATGCACCCAGTTCAACTGGTGGATTTCACTTATTTAAATATTTCTCCTTAGAGTTTTAAAATAAAGGATAAAAACTAAGTGAAATTTAATTGCTACTAACATTGGGAGATAAATTGTAAACCTGAGGCCTCAACATTTTTAAAATCTCAATCTCACAAAGATACCTAGTGACTGAAATAGCCAACTGGTTAACAGATTTAGAGATGAGATGAGACAACCTGGGTTCAAACGCGGACTCAACCACTGAGTGATCTTGGGAGAAATACTTAACCTCTCTGTGCCTTAGTTTCATCGTGAAAAATGAAGACAATAATAGTTCTTACCTTGTACGGTTGTTGTGAGGGTAAATGAGCAAATAGGGTCTGGCACATACTTAGCGGTTAAGAGTGTAATAGTATTTTACCTGACTGCTGCTAAATAGTTGGGAGACTTTGGGTAAAGCCATTCACCTTCACTTCTGTAAACAGGAAAACTTGGACACTTCCGTAATTCTTTCAGGGTCATTTCCTCGTGTTTTGAGTCTGGAGGAAAAGAAAAAAAAAGTAGTATATTTTAGGCATAGGCAAGGTTATTCTAGATATGAGTAGGTCTGGAAAAATTGTTCATAAAATTAGTAATCAATCATGGACAATAAAATTGTTTTTATGTTCCAGAGATGACTTGTGTACTTTTTGTGTGTGATTAATGATGATGTCAAATATTGACTCATGTCCACATGAATATTGTTTTAACAGCAGTGGAGCTATTTAGATTAGGCGAAATATAACTGACTGTTAGTGGTGCTAGCCCTGGGTTGCATGGGGATTGAAGCCTCTCCCTTAAAGAAATTTCAAAAGAAAATGCCCCTTCGTACACTGACCTATGCCACACAGCCCTTTTCCAGCTGCAATCAGAGGACTGGCAAGATAGATTCAATAACCAGTGAAGTTTGATGCCCCAGGGCAGAGAGAAGCTTTCCTGCTCTGGGAGCTGTTTGTCACTGTCGGTGGACGGCGGTTTCTTCTGCTAGGGAACAGGCTGAGGAAAATGGGAGGTTTTGGTTTCTATGGATACTGGGCTAGCTGGGATTTGCATAATGTATTTTAGAGAACCGACAGTCTGGGAACTATGTGGACGGGGGAGGAACGTAGAAGCACATGAAACGAGCTGGAGGGTCGAGGTAGCTAGGCTCCATTTCAGCCCTCCTCTAGGGTTAGAGTCTGCTGTCCTCTCCATCTGTCTGGATAGGTGGCAACATGGAGCGCTGAGGATTGAAGGAGGTGGTGCGTGGACAGCACCAACCACAGAGCAAGACACCCTTGGTGTTCAATAAATGTTCGTGCTCTTTTGCCTCTTCCCCTTAACGTGGTCCTTTAATAACAATACCTAGCATGTGAAACTTCACTTGTTTGTTTGCAAAGTATTTTCCCATGCCCACTCATTTTGATCGCACTACCACCTGACCACTGTTGGAGATAGGCTCAAGAGGTTAGAGGCTAGTCCAAGGTCATGTAACCAATCAGTAGCAGAGGCAGACCGCGACCTTAGGTCTCCTGGAGTTACCCTTCCTAAATCCCCTTCCCAAATCGCAAAACATTTTCAGCAGTAAATGTGGCAAGAATTGAGGCAGGGACACAGA